GGTGACGGTGTAGGCGTTGGGCGGCGCCAGCTCCCCGACGCGGTGGTGGGACACGGCTCCTACTCGCAGAACGCCCTCCTCCTTGAACACCCAGCGGGACAGGGCCACGGCCAGCTCGTAGTTACCTGTCTGGGAGTACCTGTGCAACAAGGGAGGTTGAGGCAGCTGAGAAAATACCCCATGGCTGTGATGCCATGGGACAGAGAGAGAGAAATGGCAAGCGTTTCTCACAGCAGCTTGTGAGAAGTTTTAGGGAGCTGGAAAGATGTGATAACTTGTTGGCTATAAACAAATTGCAGGTAGTGTTTTTCTACTTTATTTTTCCATTCCTCTCAAAGACAGTGTGTGAGAAAGATGTTTCTGTTAGTTAGCCAATAGAATAGAATCTATCGTACCACTTTATAAAAACCACGTGGTTCTTTTGAATAAATTCTTCTTTGCCTTTTCTACCATCCTGCCTCTCACCTGTTCCTGCCCCAACTCCGGTGCAAGAGTGACACATGGCCTAAACCCAAACAAACAGAGGTGAAAGCAACACAAACTGAGCTGAGGTTAAAGGAAGGAGCTGCTTTCCAAAGCGCTTTGCTCTGCTACAGTAAAGGATGTGTCACCCCAATTAAATTCAAGCTTTCTGCTCCATCCCAAAACACAAACATTTGTTGCCTGTTTCCCAGGAGTTCTGTCCCCATAGGGCTTCCCAAACACCCTCAGCCAGGGAAGCCAACTCACCTCTTGGAGCCTGGGGTCGCTTTCTGCACGGCAGAATTGAAGAAGGCGTCGCTGAAGAAGTCGAGGGAGCCGCTGAAGACGACGCGGGCGTTGTTGCGCGCCTGCAGCCCCGCGATCAGCAGCGTGTTCTTGCCCACGGCGTGCGGGTACTGCGGGGCAAACGGGCACAGTTTGCTCTGGGGCGGCACAGGCTGGCTGCAGCAGCACCAGCTGCAGTTAAGGAGTAACCATGAAGCTCAGAAAAAGCAGGAAGAGGATTCTGGTAGCACTCCAGCTGGGATGGAATGGGAGAGATGCTTTGATCTAGGCTGGCCTCTCCACCAGAGCATGGAGGACACGTGTTCCTCATGCTGAACACCTCCTCAGAAAGCAGGGGAAGGCAATATCAGATAGTGTCACAGACATCTTTTATGAAAAATCCTTTCCTTAGGATTTTTGCTCCTAAGAAGCTGAGAGGCTTCAGGAACAAAACGTAAACAATGGTTATCTGCTGCTGTGGGATGCAACAGGTGGATCTGTGATTGGCCCATGTTGATTGTTTCTAATTATTGGCCAATCACAGAGAGTCCAAGCCACAAACCTTTGTTGTCATTCTTTCCTATTCTATTCTTGGCCAGCCTTCTGATGAAATCCTGTCTTCTATTCTTTTAGTATAGTTTTAATATAATATATCTCATAAAATAATAAATCAAGCCTTCTGAAACATGGAGTCAGATCCTCGTCTCTTCCCTCATCCTAAAACCCCTGTGAACACAGTCACAGGGAAGCAGCCAACAGCCCAACCAAAATCAATTAGGAGATCAAACACTCCAGGATTTTCCCAAGCAGCTGAAGTTAGGGGGACTGAATTGCAGAAACACAGCTCAAAACAGGAGAGAAAGGAAGGGAGTGTACCTGAGTGATGGGCTTATCTGGGAAGAAGGAGTAGGAAGTGGAAGAGCCAGTGAGGATGTCCAGCACCAGCGGGTTGTCAGGATCAGCCACCATCCTGCAGGGAAAGCCACAGTGAGCAGCACGAACACCCCCAGGGTCCCTGCACCCAGAGGAACCTGGGGCCACCTGCTCAACCCCATGGACCTTCTCACCCTTCTACCTCCTGAGAAACTTTTCTTCCACTGTTTTGTTAGGAACCATTCCTAAGTCAACAACGAAACTACTCTGGAGGATCTCCTCCTAATTTTGTTTGAAATCAAGAGAGATTTGTTAAGCCCCCCAGGGGCTGACCCCACCTCGCAGCAGCATCCCAGGTTCAACTGCTCTTCCCCTGTCACAGACATCTTTTATGAAAAATCTTTTCTTTAGGATTTTTCCTCCTAAGAAGCTAAGAGACCTCAGGAACAAAATGCAAACATTGATTATCTGCTGCTGTGGGACGTAACAGGTGGATCTTTGATGTTGGTTGCTTCTAATTAATGGCCAATCACAGCCCAGCAGACTTTCTGCCCGAGCCACAAACCTTTGTTATCATTCTTCTTTCTTCTTCTATTTTTAGCCAGCCTTCTGATGAAATCCTTTCTTCTACTCTTTTAGTACAATTTTAATATAATATATATCATAAAATAATAAATCAAGCCTTCTGAAACATGGAGTCAGATCCTTGTCTCTTCCCTCATCCTCAGACCCCTGCAAACACCACCACACTCCCCCACCTGAGCCCTGCTGCTCACCCAACTCCTCGGAACAGGATGGGGTTCAGGGCTGCCTTGCCCACAATGGTGGGGGCCTTCAGGAGGTTCTCAGTGTCAGCCACGATCAGTGTGTGCTGGGGAAACAAGAGATCCGTGTGAGGTGAGTCAGGGTCTAATGACAAACAACAGCTTCTCAGTTAAAAGTTTATTTTACAGACTATTACAACTGTTGGGTGAACGCTGTAGTTCAATTAAAAAGCAAAACAACAGTATTTTTGTGTTTATGATCAAATTAGGTTAATACTGATCTTCAAGGAAATACACACTGCCACTTGATAAAGACAGCAACACCCACAGTGTTTTATTTCTCTGCATTTAGCAACCTTCATCCTCAAACCAGGACAATATGCACGTACCTACTGCTTCAACAGTTTACCTTAAACAAAAATTACCGGAGTATATTTAGCTCAGACTTTAATATATGTTTTAATTTTAAAATGCTGCATTACACCAGGCAGACAAAATTGTAGAAATGTTTGTGTGTTTCTATACTGATCTGAAAATCTGGGACTGAAATTCTCCCTTCCCACACCTGAAGTGTTGCACTGGGTGTCTGAAATTCCCCCCCAGAGGGGTACAGAACCAGGATTAATCCCTCCCTGCACACAGTGACCATCTGAAACCAGAGCCTGAAGCATCCTGACTGAATGCTGCCACAGGGATTATTTCCCACTTTCCTGGGAGGAGAGAAGGGATAGAGGAAAAACAGAGCACAAGGAGAGAGGACTGAGCCCTCGAGCTCTGCACCCAGCCCAGCAGGCAGGAGCAGCAGGCAAGGCCCTTACCTGGCCAGGGTCAGAGATGTCATAGTTGTGGTGGTCGATCACCGCTGTCCTCTCCTCATCGAACTCGATGCCACACTCACTGCCCAGCTCTCGCAGGGGGTCACCTGCAGGGACAATGGATCCTCTGTCACACCACACAGGGACTCAACAGTAAATTCAGCTGAGAGTCATGTGCTCAATGCTCTATGAGCCAAACCCCAGGGAACAACATGAGCTTCCCACTGAATTCCTGTCGGAACTCAGTGCATCCTTCTGGGTATCCAGAGCTGCCAAGGACCCCGTTGGGGGGCTCAGAGACCCTGGTATGCTGCCCAGAACACCTGGAGATTTGATTTTGACCCCTGGAGCAAGTTTCCAATTTTGTATGAGGACATGAAAGTCACACAGGTTTGAATAGTATAACAATAAAATGATCACAGGGTGAAAATGTAGATTTTAAGATTTTTGGTATGGGGGTTATGGAGACAAGATGGAAGAATCTGGGTGTGTCCAGCCTTTCCTCTTCTTCTTGTTCTCCATTTTCTGCAGTGATATTGGCACTTTGGGATTGGTTTAGAGTAGAAGCTCACTGTCTAGCATAGGTGATGGGTATTGGGAATTAAGTGTAAATATGTTATATGTAGTTTGTAGTATAAAAGGACAACACAGAGTGCCTGTGGCTGCCCTGCTGAGCAGATCTCGGCTGGGCAGAAAGAAAATTTTATAGATAAGAATTAATAAACAACCTCAAGACCAAAAAGTGAAGAGTCCAGACTCATTCTTCAGTTGTGCAGGCCAAAGCAGAAGCAGAAACAGAAACACCCTGCACATCTTGGGGCACCAATTATCAACAGCAACCCGAAAAATTCCCACTGAACGTGTTACTAAAGGCATGAATCAGTCATTTCCTCCCCAAACAAGCCCTGAGGTGACCAGGAGCAGCTGCCTTTGCTGCAGTGAATGAATTCTCTGCAGGAACACCTGCACTCACCGATGTCCGAGCTGGCGGCCACGAGGACGCTGCCGCCGCCGTCGATGAACGCGGTGATGGTCTCCACATTGATGTTCCCACCAAAGTCTGAAAGCAAACAGCAGCAATTCATGGCTGGAGCTCAGAAACACCCCCCAGCAGAATTAAACCACAGAAAATCACCAAATCAATGGAAGAACCACCGATAAAAGCTTGGACAGAGCTGCAGTTTGCTACTGAGTACATCCAAAGCACAGGACTTAACTAAAATTCACAGAGCAGCTGGAAATGCCCTTCCAAAGATGTGATCAAGCTCCTCCACATTTACCTTCTATGGATGGGGAGAAGATGATGAGGTTGTCGTACAGGAACTCCCCGTACTTTATCAGGGACAGGCCGGCGTCATCCGCTGTCCGGAAGGTGAGGTCGAAGCCCCTGTCTGCAGCCAGGACACAAAAGGGACAATTCCTGCATGCCATGGAACCACACATGGAGCAGCACAACTGCAGCAGGAGCCAGAGCTTTATTTCCCCAGTGAAGGAGCAGTTTGGAAACACTGCCTTTTAAGAGCAGGACCTGAGAGTTCCCAAATAAACCCAAGGAGTGGATCCCCTGAAGAGCCCTGATGTCAAAGGATGCCTCGCTGTCACCCATCAAATAGGGAATGAGGCTGCAGGGGATCTAAACACAGGCACAGCTGAAAAAAACCCCATCTCCTGCCTCATTTTGACCAGAAGATCCCAAATGTTCACCCCCCTCCTCCAAGGAACTCCAATCTCCTCCCTCTGCCTGGCCAGGGGACTCACAGCACCTTCCCCTATACCAGGCAGCCCCAATCTCCTCTCTTGGCTTGGGGTCTCCTCACTCAACCTGCCCAGGGAACTCCAACAGCCCCCGCTTGCAATCTCCTCCTTCAGCTTGACATGGGGACACAGATCTTCATTCTGACCAAAAGAACCCAAACAAGCTCCTCTCCCCAGCAACACCCTCCTTTCCTGCCTGCCCAGGGGATCCCAATCTACTCCTCCATTCTGATATGGGGAGCCCAATCTCCTCTCTCATCCAGGCCCAGCGTCCCCATCACCTCGCACAGACTGACCACGAGACCTCAAACCCCCCATTCTCCCTCAGGGGACCCCGATCTGCTTCCTCAGCCGGACAGCCAATTTCCTCCTCCACTCTGACATAGGAACTCCAAACACCCTCCTTTTCCGCCTGGAAACTCCAATTTCCTCCCTCTGCCCGGCGCAATATCCCAAATCTCCTCCCTCATCCAGAACAGTGAACCCCAACATCCCCCTCTCCCCTAGGGGACCCTGATCCTGACGAGAAGACACAGTCCCTTCCAGCAAGGGACCCCTGGCTGCACCCTCAGTCCAGCCAGGGGACTTTAATGTCCTCCCTCGGCCTGACCCAAAGACCCCAAACCCTTTTCCCTCAGGTAACCCCAACCTCTTCCCCCATCCTGACCCTGGGTCCCGCCCCCTCCAACCCCTCCCAGCATCCCGCCGTGGCCCGCTCGGTACCCGCGAGGCTCCGGAAGAACAT